CCAGCCAGTAGAATACAGGTGGTTTATTGCTTCTCTAAGATACAGCACAGCGCAGATGTAATCTAGTTACAGGAACTGGGGGTTAAGAGGCCTCAGTGCCCCCCTTGAGATAGGGGAATCCCAGTCCCCTCCCCAGTTCCTTCTCCTCTGCTTTCCAGCCAGGAACTAACTCACTCTCCTCCAGCCCTGCCCCCCAGCCAGGGCAGCATTCTACCTTCCTTTGTTCCTCTCCATGGGGGTCAGCTGGCCAAACCAGTTGGGATACCCTCTTTGCATAGTGACTCACCACTTGTCTGCTCTGTGGAACTACAGACAGCAGCCAGAGAGTTAGCAGGTTACCCCCCACTACGTCACAGTAGCACAGTATGTTCGTCACCCCTGGAGATCTGGGTTCGAATCCTGATCAGATGCTGAGCCTTTTCGTGCCAGGCGTCCTGGTCCCAGCCAGGAGTATGGGGGCAGCACTGAATGTGCCAGGCCTGTCCTACAAGGGGCCAAGTGCACAGGTCAGTGGGGGCTGATTGCTTGTGGCCTGTTGTCCCTGTGGCTAGTACCAGTACTGCAGCATTCCCCCTGCTGAGCACAGGGGGTACCCACATGGGAGCGATGGTGGTGGTAGAAGGGAGATACTGCAGGAGGCAGTGGCCGGATGGTGCTTGTGCAGTGCTGTGAAGCACAGTCTAAAGCTGCCACCCCTGTCACTGGAGGTCCTGCTGCCTGTGGTGGAGCTCTGCTTCTCTCTGTATGTTTGTTCTCTCTCTTCTTTTCCTGAGGGTGTGTAGGTTACAAGGAGGAGGAATTCAGCTGGACCAACTATCTGAGGATAACGAAGGCTCAGGCAGCTCCCCAGCACCTCTTTGTAACCCCAAACAATGTGAGTGGCAGACCCCCCTTCTTCCTCCATCCAAGCACGCTCCTCTACATTCCCATGCATTTCCCACTCAAAGAGGAGCTCCCCACCAGTTTTGCGCTGCCCCACCTCCCTTCCCAATCCCAACAGCAAGGCTGCTCCTGAAATGGGGGGAACCTGTTTGTGCACCATGCACTCAAAGGACCCTGCATGTTAGTGGCTGTATCACCAACAGCCCCCATGTTGGGGTTTGGTCTCATAAGGGGGCTTGTTCGGACCTATCTCCAATACAGGCTGTGTCTATGCTGAAGGGGGAGTGTTGAGTACAGGCACTATACTGCAGGGAAAGCCTCCAACAGAGGGAAAAAGCCCTGGTAGGATGGAGGCAGCAGTGTAGATGTGGGAGGTCCTGCGTGGATGTGTAGAGAACTATGTAGGATATACACGGGGGAGGGTGGGTATGTAGAACACTTACTCCACTTCACTCGCCTTATGCCCCCTCACTGCCTGGACTGCTACTTATACCGGTGCCACTTGGGCATGCTGTGTTTGTCCTCTACATGCCACCAGGAATGCAGATGTAGCCACACACAGTTAGCACTTGTCAAAAGTATTTGTTTTAAACAATTCCAGGAAAACTTTTTTTTTTTTAATTTTAGACTTTTTTAACCAAAAAAAGGCCAGTTTTCCACCTGTATCCTTTCTTTTTCTCTCTTTCCTCCATGGCCACTCCTTTTTTTTCAGAGGCACAATGGAATGGAAAAAGGAGAAAAGGGAGAGAAAGGGGCAGGGGAGGGTGAGACCGGGAATATTTTTACAAAGAACCCTGGCAAAATATACTTGGCTGACATTTTTGATAATTTCTAGGGAATAGAAACCTCATCAGGTCTGAAACAGTAAATCGTAATCCATTGGCTTGCTGATAAAGTCAATACCAGCAAATGATGTGTGATCATCACTTTCTCATTCAGCTCAGTCAGTGCAGTATTTGGCACCAGGCTTCACATAAATGTGTATGCAGGAATTGTGCACACGGTGGGAGAGGAGTGCAGGCATCGGTGGTTTCGAATAAGAATGCCACCACTGTCTTTCTTCATGTCAGCCCCTAGTAATAAAGACTGGAAAGCAATACAGGCTGAACCTCCCTGGTGCAACACCCTTGGGACCTGACTGGTCCTGGGCCAGGGAAGGTCCATGTTGGTCCCTCTGCTGCTGCTGGCAGCAGAGAAGGTGGCATTGACATAGCAGGGACGGGGGCGCGTGGGGGAAGAGGCAGGGCGGAGCCCCACTGCTGGAGGCCAGCTCCTGGCCCTTGCTGCCAGCCATGAGCCTCCACCACTAGCCGCAGGGCTGCACTCCCGGCCCCTGGCTGTAGAGGTCCATAGCTGCTCTGCCTCGTCCCCTAGTTCCCACTCCTCTCCCTGAGCTTGAACATCGCAAAGAGCTGTCTGCAGTGCTCTGGGAGGACAGGGAGGAGTTATGGAGTGTGGGGCCCGTTTTTTCCCCGTGAGTGCTCCAGCCCCAGATGCCAGACCGGGGATGTTGCCGGATGAGGGAAGTCCTGTTTGTGGAGGTCCAACCTGTGCTGGAAACAAGTGATTGATTACCAGCCCTAATTCAAAGGGAAGCTGTTCTTGTCTGGGATTGCAGTGTCTAGCACACAAAAGCCTCTCAGCGTACCAGATCTGGCCCCCCTAGGGTTTGGATCCAGCCCACAAGGCAGTTCCAGGCCCTGCCCCCTAAGGGGCGTGCCCAACCTGTGGCATGCATGCCAGGAGGGAAGGGGGCCGGCCTCGAACCATGTGGCTGTGGCAGCAGCTCTTCTGGGGCCAGCCCCAGGCCGCATGGCCATGGCAGCAGCACCTCTGGGACTGTCCTCGGGCCATGGCACCTCTGGCTTCTGGGACGACCTGTGGCCATGGTAGGGCCAGCCCCGGAGTGCAGCAGTGGTGTCTCCTGCCTCCGGGGCCGGCCCGGGGCCATGTGGCTGCTGCCGGGACTTACCCAGCCTCCCGGGCTGGCCTGGGGCTGCGTGGCTGTGGCAGTGGGGCCTCCAGCCTCTGAGACCGCGTGGCTGCAGTGCCTCCAGCCTCTGGGGCCGGCCCTGAACTGTGCAGCCTCCGTGGCAGCAAGGCCTCCCTCCAGGGTGGCCAGGGAAGCGTGACTGCAGCCATTGCTGCACAGGGGCACGAAACCAGGTAAAGTTCCCCATCATGCCCAGACCCCCCCCACCTCAATCACCTTCGCTTCCTTCTCCCACAAGACCTGGGCCCTAAGAGACTTTTTCACTTCTTGATTGTGAAGGTAAATATTTACTCCATTTAGCTTTATTTGACTGACTTTAAGGTAGTTGTACAATATATAAAAAGATGAGTTTGTCTTAAACTGTTTTTAGTTCAAATTGTTAGCCGTTTGAGCTTCGTCAGTGAGCGTTGGGGGCTTTTGGAGGAGCTTTTTGCTTCTCACTTGTTGTCCCCCACTGATTTTTATTTATTTATTTATTTTTCCTGTGGGTCAGTGACCCCCGACCCAAAAAGGGTTTACCACCTCTGTCATAAATAAAGAAAACATTTAAACCTTTTGTATTGAACTAGTATTTTAGTTTATCTAAAATGAAGTTTGATAAACTAACATGAGAAAGTTAAAACGCTTAATCTGTTCTTACTAGCTGCAGAAAATAAGGTCACTGTATCCAGCAGGGTAATTCTCAATCCTGCCCCTTCCACCCGAGGCCCCGCGCCTTCCAGGTCAGTCCGCAGCCACTTCTGAAATTTGTGTAGTGCCCCCCCGCCCCTCCAAAATTATTGCCCACCCCGATCTAGCAGAGCCTGGCAATCTCGATTCATCTGTATCTTCAAGATCTGTGAGCTGGATATGAGCTAACAGTGCGCCCTTGTAGCTGACGAGGGCTAATGGCATATTAGGGGGCATTAGGAGAAGCATTGCCAGCAGATCTAGAGAAGTGATTATTTGTCTTTATTTGGCACTGGTGAGACCACATCTGGGGTATTGTGTCCAATTCTCTGCCCACTCCCCATTACAGAAAGGATGTGGACACATTGGAGAAAGTCCAGCGGAGGGCAACAAAAATGGTGAGGCAGGAGGAGCACAGGACTTATGAGAAGAGGGTGAGGGATTTGGGCCTACTTAGTCTATAGAAGAAGAGTGATGGGGGATTTGATAGCAGCCTTCAACTACCCAAAAGGGGATTCTAAAGAGGATGGAGAGAGGCTGTTCTCAGTTGTGACGGAGGCAGAACGAGGAGCAATGGTCTCAAGTTGCAGTGGGGGAGGTCTAGGTTGGATATTAGGAAAAACTATTTCCCTAGGAGGGTGGTGAAGCACTGGAATGGGTTACCTGGGGAGGGGGTGGAATCTCCATCCCTAGAGGATTGACAAAGCCCTGGCTGGGATAATTTAGTTGGGTTGGTCCTGCTTTGGGCAGGGGCCTGGACTCGATGACTCCTGAGGTCTCTGCCAGCCCTGGGATTCTATGACTCACCCTGTGACCTAAGTTATATCACATAACTTCCCTGTGCCTGCTTCCCAGGGGAACTGTGAGGCTAAATTAACTTATGTTAAAAGCACTTTGAGCCCCTCAGATGAAGGGCAGTGCTACTGCTCAAGCATTCCCTCTGCTGTGCAGGGCCTGATGGGGAAGCAGGCTAGGTGTGGAAAGAATAGGGACATGACCATAAGAGCAAACCAACTGGTGTATTTTCTGTTTCTCTCCTTTTCCCAGAATGCTGTCCCCACGGGATTCCAGGTGGGCACTAAACTAGAAGCTGTAGACCGCATGAACCCTTCCTTGATATGCGTTGCTACGGTGACGGACGTGGTGGACAATCGTTTTCTGGTGCACTTTGACAACTGGGATGATACCTATGACTACTGGTAAGAACATGGGCTTGTCCTTGCAGCGCCACTTCACGGCAGTGATTAATGCTGGATGATTCCTGGATTGTGTGTAATGCACTTGGCCAATTGTCTGATACTATCGCAAGGAGGCACATTTCTTCCTGCAAGCATGAGGAAATGGCAAATTGTTCAGGGACCAAGCAGGCCTAAGTGTATTCGTCTCTCTCCTTTTGTTCTGGGATTCGATGTCTCTTATTAAAATAACTAGACAGCCCTGAACCAAACCCTGGTTCTGAGCCCACCTGAACTTTGAGAAAGTCCAGACCCCAAGCCAAAATTTGCAGCTCAGGCCATTTTGGCTTAATTCTGGATACTTAAAGTCTGCTATAAATGTAGAATCTAAGTCCTGCTTCATAACCAGCAATCTCTGGCTGTCCCACCACAGCCCCATCCTGTCATCTGGAGAATGGCATGAAAATCGGATGGAATGATAAATATCAGCGAGACATAGTAATACCAGGGTACAAAATGTCTAGAAGTGTGTGAAATCCATAGGAATGACAGAGTAGGTTCTGCAGGTGGGCGAGTGGTACCATATGGAAAATCAATCATCTCTCTATATAGCTAAAAAAATTCCTGGGGGCCGACAGAGTGACATCATTGTGTCCAAGCCCCACTCACTCCCAGGCTGGCCCTCCCCAGAGTTCACATGGGGAGCTGGCTCTGCCTGTGGCCCTAGCCCTCCCCTCCCCTTCCCAGCAGCCAGGGGGAGAGCTGTAGCTGTCGTTCTCGCAGCCTTGGCCCCAGCCCTCCCTGAAGGCAGAGGAGGGGAAGAGGTGGGATGGCTGTGGCCCAGCCCCTCCCAGTGACTGTGGGAGAACCGGACCCAGCACTGCTTTGGCCCGGCCACTACGGCAGCTGGGAGGGAGCCAGGCCCAGTGTGGCTTCAGCCTGGACCCCCTCCCTGTGGCTGTGGGGAGAGCTGGCCCTTGTACGACCTCACCCCGGTCCCCTCCCCGTCATCCGGGGGGGAGGGGGCAAAGAGCCAGAGGTGGGAGAAAGGATGGCAGGGGGGTCAAGAGCTGGGGACAGCCGGGGAGGCAAAGGCCGGCGTGGTTTCATCCGCTTCCCGGTGGCCAGGGGTGGGGAAGAGCTGGGTTCGTGGTGGGGCAAGGGTCGGATTGGCCTCTCGGGGTGGGGGGAGAGCCAAGGCCAAGTGGCTTTGGCCCCAGGTCCTCCCTGGCCAACTGGAGGGAGAGAGCCGGACCTGCTGTGGCCTCGGTCCAACCTCCTGGTGGCCAGCGGAAGAGAGCAGGGCCTGCCGCGGCCTCAGCCCAGTCCAGCTGCCCCTGGCGGCCAGAGGAAGAGAGCAGGGCCTGCCTCAGCCCAGCCCAACCCCCCAGCAACTTGTGGGGAGAGGGAAAACTGGGGCTGTCATCCGGGGTGGGAGAGACCTGGGGCAGGCCAATGGTGCCACGCCTTGGCCTGGCCCTTCCCAGCACCCAGGGGGAGAGCTGGGGCTTCCTATCCCCAGAGAGAGGGGGGTTGGTGAGCGTAGCAAGCAGGGGCGCAGTCCCCTAGTAGTGTTAAATATAATAAAAATCTTAAATGACTCAAATGATACCATAGGAATTCCATGCCTGAAATAATATGTATAGCAGTAGGAATCGTAGACCAAGATGGTGATTATAAAATGCTCACGGAGGTCAGGCTATAAAAACAGAAAACCCAGTAATAATGAGGGATTTAAACTGTCCCATATTGTTTGGATCCATGTCACTTCAGGACAGAATGCAGATACAATTTCTAGACACCATAAATGACTCCTCCTTTGAGCTCCTAGTCCTGGAACCCACAAGAGGAAAGGTGAATCTTGATTTAGTCTTAAGTGCACACAGTCTGGTCCGATAGGTGAATAGAGCTGAACTGCTTGGTAACAGTGACTGAAATGTAATTAAATGTAACATCCTTGAGAGGGGGAAAATACCAAAGAAACCAACCCTGGTAGCGTTTAACTTGGAAAAAGGGGAATTAAACACAAAAAAGCTAGTTAAAGGAGAAGTAAAAGAAATAATCATGAATGGAATGCCTGCAAGCAGCATGGGATTTTAAATACACCATAATACAGACTCAAACTAAATGTATACCCAAATAAAAAAAATGGAAATCAAATCCCACTGAGAAAAATAGAAATTAGCATAAACTCTGGCAACTCAAGTGTAAAACGTATAATTAAGCATGCCTAAAAGGAATTTGAAGAACAATTAACAAAAGATACAAAAACTAAGCACATTTTTAAGTACATCATAAGCAGGAACTTTGCCAAACAATCGATGGGGCCAGTGGACAAACAAGGTGCTAAAGGAGCACTCAAAGAAGACAAGGCCATTACAGAGAAGCTAAATTAATTCTTTGCATCAGGGATGTAAAAGAGTAGTCAATTAGTGGATTACTCACATTTCCCCCTTTCCCTTGCTGCCTCTATATCAGAGCAGGAGCCAATGCTGGGGGGAGCTGGCTTAAAAGCTGGCTCTCCACCCAGCACTGTCTCCGCAGTGCTTCTCCATTGGGACTCCCTGCGGACAGGGGTTGCTGGACCCAGCAGTAGCTGGGACTAAGCAAGCCCAGCTCTTGCTAAGTCCTCGAGCTATCTCCACTCTGCAGTTTAAACATCTCTGCAGTTTAAATGTAGTAGGAACCAGGCTGCCTGTATGCCCGGCTTTTGCTGCATTTAAACTGCTGCACTGCAGTGGGGATTGCTCCTTCTGAGCATCTTCTCTTATTGTAGTCCATACAAATTGTATCAACTACACAATTACCCAATTACCCGCCTCTTAATACCCTTACTTTGCATCTGTCTTTACTACAGAACATGTGAGGGAAATTCTCATAATCAAGTCAGTTTTTTAGGTGATAAATCTGAGTCATTGTCCCAGATTGAGTCATCATGAGGAAGTTTTAGAACAAATTGACTAAATTAAACAGCAGTAAGTCACCAGGACCAGATGGTATTCACCCAAGAGTGGTGAAGGAATTTAAATAGGCAATTGCAGAACTACTAACTCTGCCATGTAACCTATCACTTAAATCAGACTGTCTACTAGATGACTGGATAGCCAATATAATGCTGATTTTTAAACAAACAAAAAAGGCACCAAAGGTGATCCTGGTAGTGTTAGGAGTATAAACCTACTTTCAGTACCAGGCAACTTGGTTGAATCTGTTGTAAAGAACAGAATTATCAGACACATAGATGAACGTAGTATGTTTGGGAAGAATCAATACAGCTTTTGTAAAGAGAAATCACATCGCACCAGTCTATTGGAATTCTTTGAGGAACACAAAAAACATGTGAGCAAGAGTCTGTGTATATAGTGTACTTGGACTTTCAGAAAGCTTTTGATACAGTCCCACGTCAAAGGCTTTTCAGCAAAATAAGCAATCATGGGATAAAAGGGAAGGTCCTCTTGTGAGTCAATAACTGGTTAAAAGGAAGCAAAGGGCAGGAATAAATGATCAGTTTTCATAGGTCAATAGTATGGTCCCCCCAGGATCATTACTGGTGCAGTTATATCTTTATAACATATCTGAAAAAAGGGGAAAAGAGTGTGCTGCCAAAATTTGCAGACGATACAAAATTACCCAAATTAGCTAAGTCCAGAGCTGCCTACAAAGAATTACAGAGGGATCTCAGAAAATGGGATGACTGGGCAACAAAAAAGGTGGATGCAATTGAATGTTAATAAGTGCTTACATTGTGGAAAACATAATCCCAATTATAAAGACAAAATGATGGGGTCTAAAATAGTTGTTACAACTCAGGAAAGATCTTGGAGTCATGGAAGGTTCTCTGTAAACATTTACCCGCTGTGCAGCAACAGTTAAAGTAGCATACGGAATGTTAGGAATCATTAGGGAAGAGATAGATAGTAAGACAGAAATATCAAAATGTCCGTCTATGGCATGCCCACACCTTTAATACTGCTTGCAGTTCTGGTTGTTCCATCTCAAAAATAGATATATCATCAAGTGATCCCCCTCTGTCACCTTTTCCCCGCCTCTGACAAACAGGCAAGGATGGTGTCTCTAGCCTATCAGCCATTGATGGACTGATCCTACATGAATTTACTTAGTTCTTTTTTGAGCCCTGTTAAAGTCCTGGTGTTCACAAAGTCCTCTGACAGAGTTCCAAAAGCTAACTGTGTGCTCTGTGAAGAAATACATCCTTCTGTTTGCTTAAAACCTGCTGCTTATTAATTTCATTTGGTGACCCCCTAGTTCTTGTGTTATGTGAGCAAGTAAATAACTTTTCCTTATTTACTTTCTCCAGACCAGTCATTATTTTATAGCCTGTGTCATATCCCCCTTAAGTCTCCTCTTTTTTCTAAGATAAACTGTCCCAGTTTTATTCATCTCTACTTATACGGTGGCCATTCAAAGCCTCTAATCATCGGCGAGGTGTGCTTCAGGCACCTCTGGGAGCAGAGGGCAGCGCAGAGAGCCAGCTGTCCCAGCACTACCCCTTCTGCCTGAGCCCCCGCCCCTTCTGGGAGCACGGAGGCAGGCTCTCCCCACCTTGCACACGGGCCTGGCGATGTAGTCAGCTGACCTGCAGAGGCCCACCCTTAACACCTTGAACGTGTTTCACACTTGTGATGGTTAATACTGTACATTACTCATGGCCCACCTCACCTCTTCCTCCACCCTCTTACCCCGCCCGCCGCTCCTCACCCATCTTTCCCTTCCCTCCTAGTGCCTCCTGCACACCACTGAACAGTTGTTCTGCAGTGTGCAGGAGGTGCTGGGAGGGAAGGGAAGGAGCTGGTTGGTGGCCCTGTGGGCTGCTAGTGGATGGGAGAGAAAGGGGTGCTGGCTGCCGGTGGATGCAAACAACTGATATGAGGATGGGGCTGATGTGAATCAGCACACGTTCTCCTATTGATGAGCAACAGATAGACAAAATGATGGATAAGGAGACGACATGTGTCCAGGACCCCCTGCATTTACTCCTTTATGTAACACAAGAACTAGGGATCATCAGTGAAATTAATAGGTAGCAGGTTTAAAACATGAGGAAGTAGTTCTTCACCCAACGTACGGTCAACATGTGGAACTTCTTGGCAAGGGATATTGTGAAGGTTAAAAAGCACATGAGAGCTCAAAACAGAGCTAGATAAGTTAATGGTGGATAGGTCCATTAAGGGATCTTATTAGCCAAGATGGTCATGGACACGTCCCCATGCTCTGGGTGTCCCTAAACCTCTGATTGCCAGAAGCTGGGCCTGGTTGAGAGCGAGTGCATCACTAGATCATTGCACCGATAGGGAATGTCCAGCCAATACACTCACCTCTTGTCTATAAGATGCCCTGGGCATGGCCCCATTAGCAATGGACTGCTCTATTCGTGCCCTGTCTGTGGGAGAAGGAAATGTTACTGCCCTTGTCTGGTGATTGTTTGGATTGTGGGTCTCTGAAAATCTCCAGTCCAGCAGTGCCCAAATGTTGTCCCCCAGAGGCCTATTCTAGGGGCTGGAGCTGCCCCTATAGAGCAGATTTCTACCACCCTTGTCTTTCCTACGGGGTTGGGACCTGTGGAGGCTGTAGGTCCCAGTGTGCTGTGCACCAGAGATGTGAGTGAATGGGCCCAGGATTGGCCCCAAGACCACAGACGACTTAGCCTCGTGCGGTACCTCATTGTGAAACTAGGCAGGCGGGTTCCGTTTTCCTCTCCAATAGCAAAGGGCAGGGAACATTTCACTCCCTTGCCCTTCCCAGCGGTGGCCACAGGAGTAGCGAAGCCGAGTTACACACAGGCCCACTGGCTTGGTTTATTTCCCCCTTGGAAATTTGGGACCTGATGTATATTTTAGCACTGCCCATGGCTGGGCCTGCAGCCCAAGGGATCACACCTGTCTGTTGAGGAGGAGCTCAGCCACAAGCTGTGCTTTAGGGTGCATAGGCTGGCTCGTGGCTCGTAGGCCATGCTCCAGCCCCCAGGGAGCTGTGCTGTCCCTGCTGGTCCCGTTCCTGTGGCAGGAGACCTGCCTGGCTCCTGAGGTCCTGTGCCCTGCCAAAGCGAATTCATGTGCATGCCCTGGAAGTGACTGTACCTGTACCCCCTTTGATTGTGCTTGTGTGTGCTGCAGGTGTGACCCCAGCAGTCCGTACATCCACCCTGTCGGCTGGTGTCAGGAGCATGGGAAACCCCTCACCCCTCCTCAAGGTGAGTGTGGCAGGAGACCTGCCTGGCTCCTGAGGTCCTGTGCCCTGCCAAAGCGAATTCATGTGCATGCCCTGGAAGTGACTGTACCTGTACCCCCTTTGATTGTGCTTGTGTGTGCTGCAGGTGTGACCCCAGCAGTCCGTACATCCACCCTGTCGGCTGGTGTCAGGAGCATGGGAAACCCCTCACCCCTCCTCAAGGTGAGTACATAGCCAGAGTCTGCACCTGTGCTGGCGCTGGCCTTTAGGAGCTGA